AACAGGGTGAGTCTTAAATAAGTGCATATATTTTTAGGGGTAGTATATTTCGACCCCAAAAACACGTCTATGCTTTTTTTTTCGCGAAAATAAAAATGAATTTGAAAAACGGTAAAGAGAAAATATATTTCTTTTATCGAGATCTACCAGCCCTGAAAATATTTGCAATTATTTAAGACTCACCGGCTTAGAAATACGTAGTTTCCATAAAATCAATAAAATGAAAAATATATGTAATAATATAGATGTACTGATTTCTTTCGAAAATCGATATTTATGAAACTATGAACCCGTCCTGGACATAAACGGTACATTGTGAGACAGGAAATTGAAGAGAGAAACAAGTCCTATAACATAGGATACAACATTTTAATGAACAGTGCTTTCCATAAAATCAATAAAATGAAAATTATAGGAAATAATATACAAGTACTGATTTCTTTCTAAAATCGACATCTATGAAACTATGAACCCTTCCTGGACACAAACGGTACATTGTGAGACAGGAAATTGTAGAGAGAAACAAGCCCTATAACATAGGATACAACATTTTAATGAACAGAGCTTTCCATAAAAGCAATAAAATGAAAAATATAGGAAATAATATACAGGTACTGATTTCTTTCTAAAATCGACATCTATGAAACTATGAACCCTTCCTAGACACAAACAGTACATTGTAAGACAGGAAATTGTAGAGAGAAACAAGCCCTATAATATAGGATACAACATTTTAATGAACAGTGCTTTCCATAAAATCAATAAAATGAAAAATATAGGAAATAATATACAAGTACAGATTTCTTTCTAAAATCGACATCTATGAAACTATACCCTTCCTGGACACAAACGGTACATTGTGAGACAGGAAATTGTAGAGAGAAACAAGCCCTATAACATAGGATACAACATTTTAATGAACAGTGCTTTCCATAAAATCAAAAAAATGAAAAATATAGGAACGCGACGTGTATTTGTGAGCAGTCCACCTGTTTATCAAAAATATGTTAATACAAATTTTGTGAAAGTGAATCGTTAATAATTTCTTATTTTACGCGTATAAAACTATCTATTACAAGTAAAAAAAACTATCTGTTACAAGTAAAAAAAACTACTTGTTACATCTAAAAAAATATTTTTTTAATTTTTATTACTTTTTTTAACATTTCAAACTACACTTTTTGAAATCTGTCCTTTAAATCCTTCCATTTAATAGCTGTTAGTAAGAAGTTTCACTTCAAATATGCGCACATAGTGAACACACAATTTTTTACTTTGATAACTGATAACACTCAAGATATCAATGAATAATATTGGCAATACTGTTATATGTTGGCATTACTGTATTAGAGGATTGGGTACTGATGTTATAACTAATTATCGATCGAAAATGTTTAAACGCAAAATACGGCCGTTTATGCCGCAAAAAAACGTATATTTTGACACTCTCAAGGAAATCAAATTTATAGGGTATTTAACGTTGACCCAGAACTGTAATTTCATATGATTATGATATCAAATATGTCTCGTACATTGAAACAACGCAATATTGTCTTCGGACAGGAAAAATAAGGTAGAGTAAATATTACAAAAGATTGTTATCCTAAACATTCAATTATTAAAAAATACTAGAGGAGGGTAGTTCGTGAACGAACTAGTTCCAATGAACTATTCCGACCCAGGAATGAAAGGAACTAGTTCCCGGTTTCTATTCCGGGATCAAGACTGTGACCGATATACAGAGAAGACCAGGCTACTAGTAACATAGCAAGTTGCCGGACGAATTTACGTTTACCCGTTTTGCATTCGTACTCGAGAGTCATTGGTCGCGTTCATCAGGACGTAGCGCTACCGCAGCGATCACTAATTTTCTGCTGAACGCGCCGATTAGTTGTGAGCGCTCTGGGATCAGTCGCCATTTTTTCCATCAGATTTAGAATACGCTACGCTACCGATGCATGATGGATTAAACGTCACATACGCCAAATGTCACAAAATGTTTTGGAAAACGAAAACAAAGCATTTTGTTTATTGTTCTCGGTTGACTAATTTCCCTCGATCTGTGCCAAAAATTGGTGAAAACAATTTAATATGCATTACTTATGATTTTGATCTAAAAAGCACGTTCAGCAGGACAACCAATCGATGGTACATCGCTCACTGATCAACTTGTCCTGATGAACGCGACCATTTTTTGATCAAGTGTGCTACTGTATACATTTGGTAGGCCATATTTATGCTTTTAAAAAATAAAATCCAGGTCTGTATTTAACAAAAATCGTTTCCCCTCTCTTATTCTTGCTTAATGATGCATTGTCGTATTAACGTTGGTTGAAGAAATAAGAAGATGCGCAACTTTATGGGCGATTTCGTGGAAGAAAACCTGTCGAAGATGTAGCTTAGCTGGTTTAGCTCTGCGTTGAAGCGCGCTGACAATCGTTTACAGCGCAGCAGATGAAGAATACTGTACCGCAGTTCTGCTTTCAGTCGACAGAGTGAGTGGTTGCCGGAGACAGTGTTGCCAGAACTACTGATTAATTTGTAGATTTACGAATTTTGTGTAGTAGTAGTACGGGATCCGTAGTAGTACATATAACGGATTTTTTATCATTAAACAATTTAACATAATATTATGATTAAACAAAGAATGGCGTCAGAGTTGGCTTGGAAATAAAGATCGCTGATAGTAAATGTCAATAGTCGTAATTTCCAAGCCAACTAAACGACTTTTTTCGATCATACGAAATATGCAGTACCTATAAAAGAATTTCTATTTTTGTTGTTTATTCTATGTTTAACACGAATAAATATTCAATGCATAAACCCGGATTTTTCATCCAAAGATATTTTCGTCAAACGTATTACAGATATTACACATTTTAATATGGTAACACTGTCGCTTTAAGTTCCACACCGTCTTCAATATGACTTCGCTGGCCGAATTAGAAAAAATGAGTGTTTTATGCGTTGGCCGCAGAACGATTGGTGTCCACACCGTACAGCACTTGAGACGTAAGGGGAAATCAAATCAGCCTCATCACGAATTCGTCCATTAGGTTGGGTTGCGTATCTTCCCAATTCTTTCAATTAACGGTATTAATTTGAAATAGCCTAGCCACCCGCCCCCAGAGGTTTTTTAATATTGTTATATAGGACACCGTGCATATTATGAAAATATATAAAAGATAAGATAAATATATACATATATTATTTCCCTCTAATGTAGGGCAAAAAATACCTACAATCTTTGTACTCTACTCTAAAATTTGATTATCATTTGGCCTAAAATACGAAAATAATTAAAAAATATTAGTTAAAACAAACTGGTATTTAATGTAAAAAAAATGTTATCAGTGTTCACAATCTTTTACTACTATACGGCGATTACAAGGCTATTTGTATTGGTCAAACACAGTCAGAAACCTTTAATACAACAGTTAGACATCACAGAGTAACTTAAGTAAATATAAAAATATATACATAACCAACACACATACGCGATCTTACATCAATGAAAATATATCTTCATCTAAATATGTGTATATTTGAAAAAACAATAACAAGTAAATACAAATATATTTGTTATTATATTCAATAAATAATTATTAATTAATAAATATTAGATATATTTGTGTTTCAGGTGAGATTTTTCAGGTTCAAGATAAGCTGCACTTTTGTCAGAAAAATAAGAAATACTAAAATATATATTTCTAATATATTATGACGGATATTTCTTCTGAAATAGTGAATAAACGATACATCTAGATAACTGCATTGATAGAATTATTAATAATTTAATTTAAATAGCACAATTTTCAGCGATTATGATGTACTTTAAATATTAAAAATGTTTAAACCCGGCTAATACCAAAAACACCGGTATTTCGTCGAAAAATAAAAGTAATATTGCTTATATTATATTTATAGTATATTTATTAAAAACCTTTAAATTTCTAGTCTTGTATGTAAATGTGTAAAATGTAAATATTAAATGTATCACCTGTTTTTTTTACATTAGAAATACCGTATGATCAAAAAAAAACGGCGTCCAGTTCGCTTGGAAATGTTGATCGATAACATTCTCCTTATAATTTTATATATTATAAAAAATTACAGCGATCTTCATTTCATAGCCATCGCTGACGCCGGTTTTTTTTGATCATATGGTATTTATTAATAGAAATAGTAGGTATATTAGCACCACATTCGGTATGAGTTATAGACTTAGTCCTATCAAAACTTAATGATATAAAATTAGATAAAAAATTCGCGAAATAAAATTTCTTTTTACATAACAAAAGGCTAATACAATAAAAAATTCAATTAGCTTATCATGTTTATCTGAAATGCGGCTTGTTATCAAATAAATATACAATCCTTATCTCTCAATTTGATAAAACATGAAGTAAGTAGATACCTATATAAATAATAATTTTGAAAAAGCCTAAATAATTTAAAGGCAAAATAAAAGCTAAAAAAATACAAAAAAAAGAAAGACTTCATTTTACAAAAAATAATAGGTATGATAATATATATTTAAGATGTGTGCAGACAAAAAGCTACAAAATATTGAATTTATCCAATAAATTTCCAGAACCAAAAAATATATAAAAAAATAACCAAACCAGCTCCACATACTGGAGCAAAGTGGAATTAATTCTGAAGACGTAAACAAAATTACAGCTAACTTTAAGTAAAAAAAATATGCATTGGTATAATAAAATGTTATGCATTTATCTAATAAAGTAAATGATATAAAAAAAAACAAATTGTGAGGAGTAAATAAAAAATACTTTACAGTCTTTAACTAGGCAATAAAAAGATTTTAACAGCAATGTATTTGGCTTTATGATTTTGTAATTAAAAGCAGTTAAAATAAATATAAGGCTGTAAACTGTTTACTCTTCTTATTCTTTTTGATAATATTAAATATAATTTAAGAGTGTAGTAAGTTAAAAAAATAATAGACAGTGAAATTAAATAAATAAAATAAAACTTACCGGAAGAATAAATTCATGTAAACTCATTATGAAGCTGAAATATAAAAAAAAAATCACTTTAATAAATAAATATTAGCGATTAAGTTAAATAATGCAAACTGACATGTAAACAATTGTATAACAACTAAAAAAGAGTACCCATTTATTCGGGTTTTCGCAGTGATTTGGAAAGAAAACATTACCTAAAAGACCTGCAACCAACAATTCTCAAACAGACGACATTCTCTGAGGCCCATGCTTTCAAAGCTCATTCCAGATGGATAACATGAAAATTTAATATGGCATGTAAAATTTGTACTTGCTAATTACTGTTTATCCGTATACCGAAAGGTTATGAGGAGTTTTCTTTTTACTGCCTTTTTCAGTCTTGACGCCAAGAACCGATACAACCTGTTTTGCTACCGTTGGACAGGATGAAGTTATTTTTTTCGCAAAATAATTCAAGTTTCAGGCAAGAAAATTAAACAAGTTGCGAACCTATATCAACTCGAAAAACACTGCATTCGAACGATCTGGATAATAAACATTTTACTTGTTTTATTATGTGTATTTTTTAAACACATAAAAGTTTATTTGATTTGATAACTGCCGCGCTCAAGTCAAGAGGTCACAGGTTAATCAAATGCTTAGTCCTTTAGCAAGCCAGTATGTTGTCCGATAAGGTTTTTCTAAAAGTTCGAAAAATCAGACGATTTGAGCCTTATTATTTAAATAGTTGACCTCTAGTGGCCTTTTGTAGCCTTTGCGTAAAGATCGTCAATGTCAACAGTTAATTTGCCGGTGAAGGCCACTCAACACGTTACTTAAAACTAGATTCAAACATTTTCATAGGAGAACTTTTAATGGTATTTGACAGGGCTAGATGTTAGAAGTGTTTTTAAAACTTACACGAGAAAGCAACAGCACAGTAAATAATAAAAATTACAAAACATAAGAACGATCGTAGAACCACTTGCGCTGATACATGACACTACTAGCTAACTTACAAGTGCACTACCCCCCTTCCGCTTAACTGATATCGCGATGGAACAAACTCTGACGTCAGCTGTTATTGATTCTAGAGAACAGTAGGAATACTTAACAGCAATGGAGTTAAATTAGCAACAACGGATAAACACATGACAAATTCACGTTTACCGACAGCAGTTTTACAATTGCGCTTTCAAATACTGATACGAAGTATTTCATTTTTGGACAGTACGCCACACCAAACATTTCCCGGTGATGTCATTATGACATCACATCCAACTCCGCTTCGGGCAAAATTAAGGCCTTGATTCGAATTACTTTGAGATCTCTTGGCTTATTCTCTAGTATTTTATTTATTAAAAATTGTTCGTCTTTACATTGTTTGTCTGATATACTTACATTTTATAACACAACACTGAAACTGAAACACACCTGCCGTTTTAGTTTACATTAACACATATTTTTTTTAACAAGAAAACATGTTTAATTATTATTTATTTATTTATTAACTAGTTTCTGTCTGAACTACTCAGTATCAACAATTTGTTTATTATCAAGTATGCAACCAAACATACGTATATAGACATTTGGTTCTTTATTTTGACATAAGCTAATCAGCTGAGTGACAGTGACAGTTTGTGGTGACAGTGACAGTGACAGTTTGTGGTGACAGTGACAACATGGTGTCAACTAGGTGGTTTTCGTTTTTGTGGGAATTAAGTTGCAGTTTGGCAGTTGAATTTTGTAAAGTATAGTTTTTAGCAAATTTTAATTTTTCAGCATTAAAGTAATAAAAAATGCATTCAAACAAATGAACCAAAAATAGAGCATTGATGCTTTTCATTAGAATTTCATTTAAACATGTCACAGTGTAAGCAAAGTCCTCAAGAATTTATCAAAGATGTTTTTACACCCCAAATTGCTGTTCTGTGTACATCATCTGCCGAAAAATGCTGCGAGAAAAATAATTTGGATTTTACTGAATTGCTACAACCCTTCTCAAAGCTAACAAATGATGGTATGAATCTTAAAGTTACTTATTGGTAAGTAATATATAAAAAGATATGACTAATTTTTGTAGCTACATACAAAGATGTAAATGGAACGACTATGGTTGTTAAGAATTTAAAAGTTTCTTTTCTTGATGTGAACCTAAGACCCCCACAGACAACCCTAGCTAGAAAATTGTTAAATTCCTCTGTTAGTGAAGCTCCGGAACCAAAGATAAAAGTACACGAAGCAAAAGAATATAAATTGGAAGTACCCTTATCAACTCCATGGTTTGAAACTTGGAGGGATACATTTATGAAAGTCCAATATCCCTCAGACCATGAGTTTACAAAGCATTACTTGGCATGTCTAATGGTAGTTTCCTCCAGTGATAATAATCCTATTGATGCTATAGCACAATTACTTCAAAAGTTGAATCAAATTCAACTTAATAGTTCTACTGGTAAACTACCGAAATGGTTTAGTGCAAATACATTAAAGTATTATGTAATTATTCATGACAATGTGGATGGCAAATTAACTCTGTAAGTTTTATGCATATAAACATAAAATGTTAGTTAATTATTAGTTACCAGCTATATCAATATTTATTTTTTTAGAGCAAGTGAGACATTTGAGTGCATGAAAAAAACTTATGGAATAGCCAATTGTTTTTTACTAAGAATGAATTCAAGACCACCTGGGTCTGCTGATAACGAACATCTAGCTGATCCCTGGAGTCAGTTTTTGAATGTCAAAATTGATGCTAAGAATTATCAAGTTACACCCGAATATTCACCTGGACCTGATAGACATCAGTCTCTGGAAATTGGTCAGGAGGCAAATGAAAAGAAAAGTTTAAATTATCATCCACTTAGTCCAGAAGTTGATGATTTAATGGTAATCAGTTATATTTTAATTAACAAACAATATCTTCAATGCACAAAGTATTACAAGATGATCCAAAAACAATATTTGTAATGTCACTCGACTGATCTGAGAATTGTAATTTGTTAATGTTTTTTAGGTGGATTTTGATATAGACAAAGATGAAAGCATCCAAAAAAGGAACAAATCATTTACTCATGGGTGTTGCTTATCAGTTGATGATATTGAACAAATTAAATCCATGGTTTATGAGTTCACCTCTTCATGTCTTCTGCCATATATCGAGAAGCAGCTCGCATTGCTATATGATTCCATATCAAATAAAAAAGGAATGAGCAAATCATTGTTTAGTGCCACAAAAAGATGGTTTAGTACTAACAAACCTGGAGCAAGTTCTATTGCTATTAATAATTCAATGTAAATTGAATTAATACTTATAATATCCTACGTTAATTTTGAACTGACCCCTTTTTTTCATATGGTTATCTAAAATTATGATACTTTTTTCTAGATTTTATCTGGTAGAATCTTTCTATTTTTAAATAAATAGTAAAATTAAGAGTTATAAAATAATAAATATCAACAATTAATTTATATGATTATTTTTAGTTTAAACAATATATTATTGTTTTTTAATTTAAAATACTAAAAAGGACTGTTGCTTCTGCATAACATTTTTTTATTTAAATGTTTAACGAACTTGTAAACTGTTAATTTTTCTTATTTTTAACAGGCTTTACTTTTTTTAATTTTTTCAGCTATGTAGATTTTTTCTATATTTTGTCACCCGATCCAACTTTTTACTGTAACGGGTGCATCTCAAAAGCGGCTCATCCCTATAACTTTTTTATTTTTGGGATTTGGTATGTTAGTATATGACATAAATAATTATTGAGGTATTAAATTGTTTTTAGTCACTTCCGGTTTCACCGGAATACACAACCGGATACTACAACTTTTGATTTTTACATACCACTCTCGGTATTTTTTTACTTTATTCGATAGAAAATGACATTCTGAATAGAATGACATATCATATGTCAACTTTGACATTCTCGCTTAATAAAAAATCGTATTTTAAATTTCAATCTAGAGTGCCATAGTTATGTTAAAAACACTTATTCTTAATCAAGGAGCCTTGGAAAAATAGATTTGATCGTCTAACGTTTTTACTGACTTGTCTCTGAATATATGAACTTTTGTCTCTGAATATATGAACTGTATATTAAAACTTGACTAAAAAAATTAAATGGATGTTTTAGCTTAAAAATTAAAACCTGTTAAAAGTAGAGTAGAATAAAATGTACACTTTAGTTTAATGGTATGATTTTTTAGATATGCAACAGATGCGCCTGAACTTCAAATCAGACGACTAGCAGACTTGTATTTTATGTTTGGGAATTATTCAGCAGCATTTCAAGCGTACCACAGCGCTAAGAGGGACTACAATGCTGATCAAGCATGGCTTTATTATGCCGGTGCGCTAGAAATGGCGGCATTATCAGCCTTTATGGCGAACGAATCTTCTAAGAAAACGTTAAGTTACATGGAAGAAAGTATTACAACTTATTTAAATCCTTGCAAGTAAGGTTTTTAGCCACTATATTAATTGAGATTGAACTAATATTGGTATAATTTTTAACATAGACAAGTAAAATGTCATCAATATCGTTCATATGGCAATATAAATAATATTTTGTTTTTTTTTTTATTAAAATAGCCATCTTCAAAATACTAAACAAAAAAATCTGTATTAAGTATGTAAGGTCATAAAAATATTTTATTTTCATACTAAATTTAAATTTTTAATGTGTTTATATTCATAATTGCTGGAGTATTTATATTAAGTATTCTAATTATATTTAGATAATTGTAATTGTTAAGAAACCACAATTTTTATCTAGGATTAATCTCTGTTTATAATTCACATTGACGATTTTGTTTATAGGCTTCGAAGCAAAGTACTACTTGTCAAATTATGCCACTAAAACAAACATTTTAAGAAAAAAATGTCTTTATCTAAAGAAACATTAGGTAGCAAATAATTTAAACAAAACACCTGTCCTTTTTATTTATTATATCCACCTCTTTGTAATACTTTAATATACTTATAAATTAATTTAATAAATAAAAAGTAATGAAAATTTTCGATAGTATTCTACTATTTTAGAATGACTCAGTTTGCAACAAGGGCCACAATACTCAGTTCAGAATGTCTAAAACATGAGCAACTCTACGGCGAAGCTGCCCATCAGCTAATACGTATGACGAGTGAAGATTCTGATCTTCGTTCGGCTCTACTTCTTGAACAGGCGTCGTATTGCTTCATGCTCTCGAGCATGCTTCGTAAATACGCTTTTCACATGGTGCTTGCCGGTCATCGTTTTTCCAAAGCCGCTCAGAAGAAGCATTCGCTGAGGTGCTACAAGCAGGCATATCAGATCTATGAGAATACAGGGTGGGACTTAGCGGCTGACCATATCCATTATACGATTGGACGTCAAGCAAATAACCTACAAAAATTCAATGAGGCTGTGGAGTCTTTCGCCAAGCTCTTAATTGGCGAGAGCAAACAAAATGCTCAGCAACAGGGTGTTTTTTTGAAGGAGTATTTAACAATTTTAGATGTAAGTAGAAAAATTGATATGTAGATATTTTAGAACACTGGGTCACCCTGTATATCATTATATCATTTCAATTGCTATTTATGCGTGATTGTGATTTTTTCCAGTCCAAGTTACAGAAAGACAATTCAGAAGACACTCCAGTACTTCCAGTGCCAGATCTAACTAATACTTCAGTCAAAGTCTTAGTTGGGCCAACAAGGCCATTATCAACTCCGGGCCAAGTTCCAGCCTTGGGTATTAGTTTTTCTAGCTGCGAAGATCCTTCTGTTGAATCCAGGTGGCAAAAACTCGAAGAAATGATAGTTTCTGAAGTCAATGGTGTAGCTCCTTTAATTTTCAAACCAATGATCACACTCTACACTAATAGCACTCTGGAAAAGAATACTCCGGTAGCCATAATTAATGAACCAATCCAAGTTTCAATAGAGTTGTATAACACTTTACAGACTGTGGTGTTACTAAAAGACATTTATTTGCTCTGGAGCTATGAGAACGAGACTGAAGTTATTTTTAATAAAGTATTGACTGAAGATGTAGACCAGTACATTAAAACATTTATTACCAAGTCAGTTATTATACAAGGGAATTGCAAACAAGATTTAGTTTTATCATTGACTCCTTTAGTTACGGGAAATGTGACAATATCAGCCGTTTGCTATACTTTATCTGGCTCCACAGCTTCTACAGAAAGTATTTTTGTAAAAGGAAAAAAGCTGATTAATATTTCGAGTAATAGCGACGCTATCAAACCTATATGTATTAAAATAGTCCCCTTTGCGCCATGTTTACAAGTAAGAATAATATTCATGTTCTAAGTTAATTTACTTAAAAAAAAATCTTTTTCAGATGACATTTTCAGATTTGAACTTAGAATTCCTAGCAGGGGAATTACAGAGAGTGTCTGTTACTCTTCAAAACACCGGTTCTGTTCCTTTAAAAAATGTTTTATTAGCCACGTCGGTTCCTTTGTCGGTTGACAGCGAATTAAAAGTCGATCCTAAAGAATATACATACCAAGATGCAGAAAACGTTCAAGTGAGAGAGAAGCTGGCCAGAAAAAATCACATAACTACACTCCCTTTACCAAATAACAGGTTGGATAATGGTCATTCGATTTCATTTCATTTATGGCTTAGGGCCCCGGCCAATAAGGGGCCGACTTCCATTGATTTGTTGACTTATTATGAGAATATTGATTCTGCAAGCATACCCAAGTAAGCACTAATGTACCTATATGAAAAAAATGTATAGGTACTTAAAAAAGCGAATCTAATTATTTAGAAACAAAATTTTCCGTTGTTTAATATAGAATTTTTTTTATTGCAGATATCGTTTAATAAGGCACAGTTGGAATTTGTCTGTACAAGAATCAATTTCCATTGATGTATCTCCACAAACTAGTTACAATTCAATCTCCGAAGAGGAATTAGCTTTAGCTTTGAAAGCTACAAACTTAAATAATATCCATAATTCTATCTCAACCGAGATAACTTTGTTGAAAGTTTGTTTACTCAGCAATAAATGGTTTTTAACGAAAGACATGGTCACTCCAAAATACATCAATTTAAATTCTCAGGAATCAGCTCACATTTTAATAAAAGCTAAAAGACGAGTCTGCAAAGATAGCCAGTATTCTTTCATTCCTTTGCATACTGACAAGATATCTGCTCCACATTTATCTACAGCATTGTTATCTTTTGCTAGAAAAACTGATAAAGCCTTACTAAATGTTTTTGAAGTAAACCATGATGTTAGAAAATTGAAAGATTGTACGTTGGTTTTAGAATGGAAAGCTTTGGTCTGCGACGCTTCAAACAGAAGAGTTATAAATGGCCAGACATGCGTACCAATCAAAGTATACAGAAATGAACAAATACAGTTTGAAAAACTGATATCAGACTCGCTAATTGAATTAAGTAGTTCAGTTGAGAATACTGATAAAAAGGAATTTAGTCAGAACCAAGTGTTTTATAATCTTCTGCATACACCTCTTGTTAAACATAATTTTACAAGAACCAAAACTTGTGTGGTACCTGTTACTCTAGTCCTACATAGCCTTGTTAGTCATGTCATTGAAGTGACAGTAAATACTATAGAAAAAAGAAGCAAACCCGTCAGTAACAAAACGATTAAAACGAATTTGTTTATCCCACAAGCCACTGGAAATTTTTGTTGGCTAGTCAACGGGAAAATATTGAGAACCTTGGATCCATTAACAACAACCACGGTTCAACTCTCTGTGATAGTAACCAGTCCTGGTACATTTGACTTAGGAGCGAATTTAGGAGTCTTTTGCAATAGCTTAGATAAAGATGAAGATCCAGTTTTACAACTATGCGAAATTCATTCTGCTTTAATAGTTTTAGATAGTAATAGTTAACGTTTGTATATGTTTATGGAAAAATGTAAATATTTTAACTAAAATATTTAAGTAAATATTCTCGCCAATATTAAATAATCAGTTAATAATGTTATATAACTATATAAGTTATTGTTTAATATATCCTATTTCTTTTTTATTAAAAAAATCTTAGTAACACAGTTTTATAACGTTTTCATCTATATTTCCTTAAAAATTAATTATTGGTAAATCCCAGACTATATAATAAGAGTGGTAGAGTAGTCGCTATAGTCTGTCCAACGAGAAGATCCTTGACAGTGATAGATGTGTCTGTCATTTTAATTTCAAAGTAGTTTATTTTACTTTACAAAGAAATAAGTTGGTACAACTGGAACGCATAGCAGGAATTATTTAAAATTTGATTGACAAGATGACAAGTGATTACTTCAAAATATTGTGAAAAAAACTGTATAAAACTGAAAAAATGTTATCGAGTTATTTTATTTAATAAAAACGGTATGTGTTAATTCAAAACAAACAAGAACAAGACACTACATACCAAAAAAATATAAAAAAGAACTATTATTTACTTTCAAGCTTTATGAAACTACCCGCATTTATGATTATATTTATCAATATAACTTATGTACAAATACAAATTTGTAATATTCCACAGGAATAAATAAAACAACATAGGTAAATAAAACAAACTATTTTATTAATAATAACACCTACCAAATTTTATACCTTAAAGGTTGATTAATTAACTTTAATCTTAATTTTTTTAAACCAGTACCTTTTGACATTATTTTTCTGCAGTACTAAAATCCATTATTTACCTATCGTGTGATATCGATATTTTACAGCTACTCCAGTTTTTAGTATGTGTTTAGTTTGATCCTTCTACCATATACAAGATGCACTTATCTACGACGAAATGGTATACAAACTTTATCGATAGCAACTTCATTGGTGTATAAGACTTTCTGCCCTGGCAGCGAGTATTAACCATAAACTGTGCTCTGGGTCTACAGTTAATTTTCACTCGATTTTTCCTCCACTTGACTTCAAAAGACACAAAACACACGTAATAATACGAATCAAAATGCATCATATTCCAAAACGCAGGGTATTTAACAAAAGTTGACACAAAATTATAACCTAGAATTTGGCAAGACTTTGACAAGCGTCAAAAATGACAAAAATCTAAAGGCGAGTTCATACGCATCGGCGTCCGTTTGTCGTTCATCGTTCCGTCAAACCAATAAAATTGAAATACGATCTGTCATTTTTTAAATAAACCAATAAAACTGGTTAAAAACAACAAGACACGACGTATGACGGATTTATATTTAAACCCATCCATAGATAACTTAAAAATTATCAGAAACTTTTTTTAGTAAAATAAATAGATTGGTATGGGACGTCATCTGCTTTTCTTCTGTCATCGTCTGTCGAAATCTTACCTGAGAAAAAAAACAGAGTATAGTCGCATCTAAAGAAAATACCGTATGATAAAAAAAAACGGTGTCTGTTGGCTTGGAAATGGAACAATCGATGACATTCCCCATATAATTTTAGATATAAGACTCAGCTCACGCATCCAAAATAAAAAGGAGAACATCCAAAACACTTGTGTCTAGCCCTAGCAGGCAACTATAAAGCCCGACCAATCACGTTAGAGTTTTTGACAAACACAAATGAATTAACACCCTTCAAATAACCACGCTAACCAACCCTGATTGGTCCATATACGTATTACTTTTTACAAAAAGTGTAAAAAGTAATACGTATATGGATTGGTCAAGCTCACAGGTCAAGCTTAATAGTTGACTGCTAGGGCTAGACACCTAACCAAAACCCCCAATCGCAAGCACGGTGGGAGCAAGGGGGAGCAATGTAAAGTCGGGTGTGAACGTGAACTATTAAACTATTAAATTTATTGGTAGATTACATATTATTGGTAGATTACAATTTATTGGTAGATTACATATACGTAGAAGCATATTTTATTAAAAGTTACATGAACATGAAACTAACGGTACATATTTTTTACAAGAAATCACAGAAACAAATATTTAGGGCTCCTTGAAAACAAATGTAGATCATATACGTATATGATATATTAGATATATATCTATGATTTATATGCTCTAGAAATCCGAAATAAAAGATATTATCTGTGGATACCTCATTTATACTCTTTGGCCTTGTCATTTAAACCAGGGCCATGTAAGTGAAATATTAAAAATGGTTCCAGCAAAAGTTTCCCAATTATGACGGATGATGGCGCTGATCGTCAAATTTTTGGACAGGGATTTTGCTTACCGACAATACGACGTGAGCTACGACCGGACCAGGACCAATCAGAATGATCAGTGCGGACGTGTGTGTTAATTTCTGTTGTGATAAGTGTGGTTGTGTTTGCAGTTTGATTTTTCGGTTTTGATATTATGTTAAAATTAATTTTGAAGTATTGTATCACCTGTTTTTATGTAATAGTACTTTTTTTAGTTCTATGATTGTTTCTATGTTATGATTTGTTAATGTTTGTTTAACAATGTTATACCAAAGAGGTTATACTTAATATACTTATCAATTTGCATAGCCTAACTTTTTTATCAATAAACTTTGTAAATTTTCAGATTATTTAATTCCTGTTGTTTCCGTTTGTAATTTTATTTTTAAGACATTTTATGTGATTGTTTCACATAATATGTTTTAAAAATAAAATTGCAAATAGCGAATAAAAATAGTTAAAATAAAAAAGTGTATTTTACAATTCCCCCCGGCCCCGCACCCCTTTGGCTAACCTATAATGTCAGCTATGTCGAGAGATGGCGTTAAGAAAATGGAACCGATTTATTACAAGGAACTTGGGCTTCTTTTTCGTTAGTATATTCTGTGATTTAAACGTCACGTCAGGTCAAATTCCCTCAAAATTTTTTATAATTTTATTTATAACAAACATTTTGTGCTTTGATATTATTCTTGGTGCAAAATTTCTCCCGCAGTTATGTTTGTATTAATTAAATAATAATGACAGATGGACCAAATAATATTGACAGTAAAGGAATAATAAATCAAAATGTATGGGATGGATTTTCCAAATGGTTTCACTGTATTTGTGTTGTTACATTTGATTTAGAATTAGGGCAAGCTCTTGAGGTAATGTAGACAAATCACACAGACAAGATAATTTTAGTTTAGGAAGTGGTACTCAGTAGTAAATAGATATATAAACGAAGCGTGTCTTTTTAATGAGTTTTTTTAATTCAGAATATCTACCCAAGAGATGTGAAATTATCAAAACAAGATATATCGAATATTTGTTACCTGGCCTTTCCTGATTCAAATTCAGGATGTATGGGCGATACAACTTTTGTTATAAGGCTGCAGTCTAAAAGTGAGAAGATGTTGAGATCTGAACATGTAACTTATAATAGCAAATGTCCACCTCTATTAAAAATTGATGAATCATACCTCTGGGGGTATGTTTATTTTCGACAAGTGAAGGACTTAACTTTACCAAGGGGATATTTCCAAAAGGTAATACTGTACTAATTTCTGAATTACATTATAGCATTTAATCTTTTAATTATTTTATTATAGAGTATTGTTATGCTGTCTTACTTTCCATTTAATAATTTGTTTAGTAAAATATGTAGTTATATTGCACCAGAATATTTTGAGCATGGTGAAGAAACTCTAGAAGTTGCCTGTTATAATATAGCATTATGGTCACCTCCTGTTGCTGGAGTTGCTCTTAGCTTACCAATTTTAGGATCAGTGTTTCAAGTATTTATTAATGTAAGTGACTTGTAAATATTAATTTTAATAATACTTTCTTTTAGACATTTATACCATTATCAGCTACAGGCATTGGTTCTATAAATTCAACTCTTGCTTTATTGGGTAATGAATCAAACGAGAGTCAAAAAGTAATTCAAGTTGATGATCTAAATTTATTTGAAATTTTACAACCTGTTTTATCCCATGTCCATTTATTATGGGAACTTGTTATTACTTCAGAACCTATTGTTGTAATGGCATCATCACCTACTGTTTGTTCCTCTATGGTTTTAGCACTAACTAGGTAGGTATTTAATTTCTCGCATATAGTTATTTATACCATACTGGCAAGCGAAAACCTTGGGTCGGCGTTTTACATGTCTAAGAGTGAATCGCTATGGCGATCTTGTAAGTCAGAGAGAGCAAAAATGTGAAGTATTTAATATTTAACCACTTAATCCGACGCTAGATTCCATGTGTGTAGGAAAATACTTGCTCTTCTTTCTTTATTCAGTACATCTTATGTTACTGAGGGTATTGATCGTACTCTTCATACACATGAAAATCGGGACCCAAGGCCAGCAATGCCGACCCTAGTATGTAACTGTTTTTAGGCTTATTGCTCCCCTTCAGTACTGTGGTGATTATAGGCCATATTTTACAATCCATGATAGTGAATTTAAGCAATATACCAGTAAAGTACATGGCCCTCCACCTGTCATTTTAGGAGTGACAAATCCATTTTTTGCGAAAAGTTTTCAGCACTGGCCCCACACTATTAGGCTTAATGATGAAACTGGTAACATTAATCTAAAATAAAATGGATTTTAATTTTAAGGGTAATTTAATTTTATTAGGGGAAACTCAAAAGTACAAATTAAAAAAGACACATCAGACAAAGATGATTGAAAGCAACAGTGGAATATACACTTCATACAAACCTTTCTTACAAAAAGATAAGAATATAATAAAAAAACTTAAAGGAGGCGTAAAAAGACCTTATGAAGCTCAGTCAATCATGTTAAGTAAGCATTTATTAGAATTAACACAAAGTTTCATGTTTCCACTGGAAAGGTATATTGCAAGTTTATTACCTTTACAGAAGAATATCTCTGCATTTAAGGTAATTAGATATCTAAACATTGAAATGCATTATCAAGATACAGTGTCATTCATAAGCTAGTTTATTTTTAAGTTATAGCTAGCATTTTTAAAGTTAGAAATTAAGAGGGAAAAAAATGATTTTGACACTGTATATAAGGTATGATAGTAGTCTAAATGTGTTACACAATATATTTAGACTATTATGTAGTTAAAAATATGTTTTCAGGCTGTGCCAACTCCCAATCCATTTAATCCAGATGATTTCTTTGCAACTCTGGATAAAACAGGTCCACATTTAACCCTGAACAAAACTGGAATTAAAGGGGACTGGATTGGTTTGTACAGGAAATTTTTTAGATCTCCCAATTTTAAAACGTGGTTTAATGCCAGGTATACTGAATTAAGTTTGAAATTGCAAGCTTTACATGCAGAAGCTTTATCCACAGTGGTAAGTATTTAATAGTAAAATTAATAAAAAATAATTGATTTTGGTTTAATACAAAAAAACTAAATAAAACATATATTTTTAAGGACATTACAAATTGGGTTAGGGGAAGGCCTGAAGTTGAAATTGTCGATATGGTTATGCGCCTCAAGAGCAAAATTTGCAAATGCAATTGCGACGTCCCTGTCAGTGATTCTGTAAAGCAACAATTAAATCAACGAATGCATGACATTGCCACATCACTTCCAGAAGACTTAAAAAATATTTTGCAAATTTCATGATACTGGTTTTAAGGGTTGGACCTTACAACCCTTAAAACTGACTATTTTTGTTTCATTATGAAAATAGACGAATTTTATAACCAGTTGAATTTTGTGTAAAGGATTCATCAGATTATCTAGCTACTCAAAACTATTTTGTTATGATAATTGTTATATTCTCAAGAACAAAACAACACTCAAGTCATTTTTATGGAAGAAAATCTGTTAAATATTGTATATGTTAAATTCGTCCATTGATCAATTTTTTATAAATCTATAAATAAACATTTATTTTTTATGGTCTTTTTTCTTTACCCTTCAAATAATTTTTAAAAAAATTACTAGTTATTAATACAATATTTTTTAAAGCAGAATACAGCTTTAGTTGAAAATTTTAAGTGAAACGAAATACGAACGAGGTTATAAATCGCTGCTAGCGCGAACCGAAATGTTCTTTTTACTCAGGGCCGGATTTCCGCATAGGCCTGCAAGGCCCGAGCCTAGGGGCTCAGCCTGCCTAGGGGCCCCATGCAATGAGTGGCGCGCAATTTTTATATATAAGCTCAAAAGCCTGGCTTATCAAAACGCTTTATCGAAAGTATTAGCTTAAAGGTTAAAGTCATTAAACTCGATTAAAAATTATATGTTCTGTACTACTCGGTAAATTTCCAAAAATTCCCAAATTGACATGGGGGGCCCAAATGTCAAGTGCCTAGGGGCCCTGGATGTCCGGCACTGCTTTTACTTGTTATTCATCTTAACTCATCTCAATTTGTCTTATTATATTTTAGTAATGAGATATACTAAGATTTCCTGTATGTAAAAAGAATACTGCTATAGTCGATATATAAATCAGTTCGTCTAAAATCGCTTTGTATGTATCACACAGTACACACAAAACTACATTGAGAAGAATTATTTGATTGAAGAAATAATTATGAAAAATAAAATATTTCAGTTCATTTTCTTTAGTTAAAAGTGTTTATTTATTTTAAATAAAAATAAAGTAGGAAAAATCAAGTGGATGGTTACTGAAGGATATAGGCAACCAAACATATAACTAAATTATCTCCAGATCACTACAGAAAGAATATACCTATTATTATGCCATCATTTATTATTCTTTAAAAATAATATACATAAAATAAATAGCGATAGAAAATTTATAGAATAATATTACTTATACAGGTGCAAAAATATACATTTATATATGACAAAATTAATATAAAATAAAAAGTTTACGGCTATGAGACACCTATTTCCAATTAAGAATTAATAAAGTTTTCTTATGGAATATTAACTGCAATTTTAAACAGATAAGAATTATCACTTATATAAGTACATAATTCATTTAATAATTATTATTAATATAATATTTCAAATGCATAACTACGCATAATCTACATACAAAATTGAAATACATATACAATAAATATAAATACAATAAAAAGTAAAGAGGCGACTATAAAAATAAGATTAAAAAATTAAAGCACCAAAAGGTTTTGTCATTCTAACTTGAAACTTATAAAATTGAATTTCTTATTTTTTAAAGGCTTCAACTGAATTGATTGCATCTTAAATAGTCTATGGATCAAAGCTTTAAGAAAATCAAATTGTGTAAATTTCAAGTCCTGATGATTTGATTTTGATAAATATACAGTCATAGTATCTCTGCAACTAAATTTATGTAACTGTATTTAAGTAAGCCTGCATGTCCTCAGTGTATAAATTAAGAAATACTACCAAATTCATTTATTGTAGTTTCAGAAAATAGCTTTTCACAAACTTTTGCGTCTACTCCTGTTTTTTTGCTCCAATATATCTATCCAAACCAATATATCTCCAATATATCAGTAAACAATTCTTTCTTAATTTTGTCGCGATTGAGTTGATAGTGCATTCACAACAGCAACCTTAAGTTTAATCAGTACTTCTAGATTGTATTTATTTACTGTCCTGAGTTCTTCTTGGCATGTTTTAATTTCAGGTAACGATAAATTCTAAAAAATATATACCATGTTAGTGCTATAGTTATGTTTATATTTCTTTTATTATTTATATTACTCTATTTATATCTTCTTGAGTTAAAATTCCTTGTTCAAGAAACTCCTGTAATATTTTTTTATGTAGAGAGGTGTCAATTTTTTCACCAGTGCAATGTTTTAATTTAACAACCCTAAAAGAATATACGAAATAACCAAAATGTGCTAAAGTTAAGTGATTTTTTGATTGAAAATAGCTTTAAAAATATCTGAAATAAAATATCAAACAATCTTACCCACGGACACCATTTTTTTCAAAATCAATATTTGCAGATTTTTCTGTGGACTGTTTTCCGATCTCTTGTTTATCATTAAATAATTCTTTTGACCAAGCATTATCATAATACTCTTCCTGATCCGGTATTTTCATGTCATTTTCATTTGAAAATTCTTGTATAAGCATGTCTAAATACTAATTAAAGATACTCATATAACAATTACATTTTTTAAGACAAGAAAAAAAACTTACTTCTGCATTATCTTTATTAATGGAAGCACAATAAGGTTCAATGTACGCCAAAAATTTATCCCATTCTTCATTTTTTAGTTCAACAATATTTGGTATTTCTTCACATATATTTTCATTGTAAAATTTTGCTTTTTCATCTGGATGTTTTCTTTTTAGTGATGTCTATGATTATAATGAATTTCATAAAGATATCAAGTTTTACAAATTATCGATACTGTGATATATTTGATTATTATTTTGTATAAATATTAAAACGAAATTGTTTAGTTTGTAAAGTGTGAATTATTTTTTATATATTAAGGAATTTGATCTGGTTAGTTTTTGTATGTACTATCTATTCTTGTATCGATATATTTTAAACCAGAATAAAGCACTTCTCAATTAGTTAGGTTAGTAATTAGCCTTTGTTGTATTAGTCTCGACTAATATAAATGAGTAAATATCTAAATTAATAAATAATAATAAATTATATAAAACCTAGTATTATACAGTTACAAACCTGATCATGGTCCTTCTTATCATGATGTGATTCCCTATGTTCATTTTGAGTATATTCTCCTAAGAAGAACCTAGTACGCAAAGCATTTGTGCACAATAGTTTTTCTAAATCTTTTTGCAGAGGATATAAATCATTTTTGATTATCATTCCGACTTCTTCTTCGACTGCTGTTTCTCCATTTCTGGATAAAACTAGAATGTCCTTAATTACATACCTACCTATCAACTAGCTCTACTCAATAGACTTACTTGATGTATATTCAGGTAATTGTGTTGAGTTGTCAGCTTTTCTGATAATGGGAACATTAGAAAAATCCTTAATATCAACTATTTTCTGTTCTGTTTTTTGGCGAGATAGGGTCCGGTGTACTATCCTGACACCCGATTTTTGCATTTTTCTTTTTTTATATCAAAAAGTAACACTTTTAAGTAGTAATTTTAATTAAGAAATAATGCGGATTATGCAGGGAATATCAAAATATTTTAATTTAATCCTTGATTATTATATATAGACAAGGATTTAATGTTCAACTTAAGTATTTGAACTTTAGTCTTAGTATTTGAAACCAGTTGAAACTAAAAATTTTAAGGTTAATTTGACAATTTTGACATGGATTTGACACATATTTGCATCATATTTGACGTTATGGAGACACTTGATTTGATACCACAGTTTAACTTGAGTTTGACACACATTTGACATGATAGCGGACAGCGACAGATGGAAAAGCAATGTTGCCATCTTTGAATAAGAAGACAAGCCGGAGTCTCATGCATCCGAAATCCGATGACACGACGATCCGACGGTGCTCCTATTGGTCGAAATATTTTGACACCATTTTTATCCGATATTTTTAACTAATCGTCCGACGTCGTATAAAGTTAAATTTTGTTTAACTTTTGTACGATATCGTGTGTTTTTTAACCTCACTTTTTTTGAAAACATTGGTTTTTAAAATCAAGTTTAGTGGGAAGTGGGCAATTTCGGGATATTTGGCGAGGAAGTTATTTTTATAAGTGCAAGGTCAGCCACCGGATCCACACCATTACCATTTATTTTATTAAAAAATTATCAATTCACTTAAAAAAAAAACAAAAAATAATGAATACAGTATATTAAAATTATTATAAAATTCACACCGCGATTTTTTTTTGTAACTCGAGGCAATCGTATTTTCAGTATTTTAAGGAAGCCGAGTAAATAAAACACCATCTATAATTTTTAAGATTATTATATATTATATAGGTATATATTTTACAGTTATATACATTGTATTTTTTTTACAAGAATTAAAAATATTCGTTGACTAATTTTGAGCCTCAAATTTATACATTTTGCAAAGAATGTGAATTAAAAGAGATTTAGAAGTTAGTTTTCAACATCTGAAGATACTCGTTTAAAATATACATTACTACACAATGGGGTACGGGGTCACAGGGGTTACATGTCTAAGAAATGATTTATCTGTTTCTTTGATATGGTAAAAACCGCAAAGGATATGTAGTTATATACGAATATGTTTATGTCGTCAAACTTTCTCGAGAGTACTCTATCCTGTTATGTTACGGTTAATGTCCGAAATGGAGTTAAATATCAGTTAATGTCGACATTAACACGTTAATGTTTGGGTTAGGTTTTGTTTTTGGTTGTTTTTTCTTATGGTCTTATGATATGATATTCTTAACCGGTTAATATTGAGATTAACTTTATTTCAGACCTTAACCGTAACATATAGGTACGGGGTGGTGAATCGTCGTTGGAAACATAGCAAAGTCATAAATAGATTTTTTAAAGGTCTACCTTAGTGTGGTAAACACACATGCCAAGTTTGAACCATGTTTGAACAATATTGGTCAAGCCGGTTTTGAGTAATTTGAGAAAAGCTCCATCTATTTTTAAATTAAAACTGATCAGGTAACAATCAACCACCAGTCAAAAATCGACATACCTTTAAAGTTGTCAACATCATTTTTAAACGTAACATAATTTTAATAAAATTTTAATATTCGGTATCAGTAATAATTTATTGTTATACACATAAAGAAAAAGCGAGAATAAAATGGTACTACGCAAGAAATAATTTAGACAATAGTATGTCTCACATGTTTCGGTTAATTTCCCCTGAATATGAACCAATATTTCACCTGTTCAAAATTTGCATGGGATTTCCTATGTTTCCAACGTCGGTGCACCACCCCGTATAACAATCATTTATTTAAATGTACATTTATATGCGGACATGTTTGAACCAATTAAAAAAATAAAACAAATCAATATTTGCTTTAATTCTGTTAAAATTCCGAGTAAGCATTGTGTATTCCGAATTACAAAAAATATAATTATATATACAGGGTGTCCCAGAAATAAGTGCAAGTATTTTAAGGGGTGGTAGATCTGGTCAAAAGAAACATTTTTTCTCTTTAACGTTTTTCAAATAAGTCCAAAATAACCGAGTTATTTTACTTTAGAAAAAAATATTTTTTGTTAAAATTTAGAACTGCTGAGAACCAACCACTGGATCTTTTCTGGATTTTCTTTCATGTAAATTTAAGCTACTACCTATGTTGCCATATTATCAAGAAATTATGTTTTTTAACTTGAAACTAAAAAAAAATTCCAAATTTTCAAAATTTGTTTTTCGCAAAAAATACCTCATAGGCGTATTTTTGAGAACGAAATATACTACAAGCTAAAATACTTGCACTTATTTCTGGGACACCCTGTATATTTTATTCTTTAGAAACACATTTGGTGTGCTCCAAGCAAATGTCAATGTTATAAATTCAATTTATTAATTCAATGTTCTAAATTCTAATTTAAAACTGAAAATATTTGGAACTGCTCTTTTATAGTAACCCAATAAGAGATCCTGCTCTATTCACTCTATAAAAAATATGCGATATTTTGTTATAAAACATTTAAAATTATATATTAAAAATATACATATTCTTTAAATTTAAAAAGGGGTAGTTTTAATTTAATGTTGTATTTAGAAATAAATAAATATATAAAAAATAAAACCTCATTTGTGTTCTGTACATGATAATCTGAAGTGATTTTGTTAAGTTAGACTATAAAGAAGTCTTGGGGGTGTATATTGACTGGAACACACAAGGAACACACCTAAGAAATAATATAAGTAATTATAAATGCCTATTTACTGTGGGTGTTTTGATTGATATTTTTTCATTTTACTCTTAATTTTTTCAGAGCGGAGGCGGGGATTTCAGCTACTGAATAACTGTTTTGTTATTCTTTTTTATTTCAAATGGTGGGAACTAAAAGCGATACAAATATATCTTAGAAAATATCTTCTTTGATAGTTTGAACCAGGTTTGAACTCCCCCCCCCCCCCCCCTATTTGGATATACAGAGTTTTTCACAAAAAATACCTTTTCTTTTAATACTGTGAATAAACGGGTTATTTTACAATTTTCTATTGATAATTACTTGCTATACATTAAAGTGATGAAATATATTTAGCATATTTGAATTTTAATTGTAATTTTTTGTTAAATAACTTATAAAAATACACTTGCTCCTTGAACCAATATCAATATAATATGTATACTGCATGATCGAATGAGAGCACGTCAAAGTAAGCGTATAACATTTCAGCTTGAACTTTACCATATCTTGACAGTGACAGCTGATCTTGAGCTATTTGAATATAATATTTGTGTCATTTGAAGATCCAAACTTTAACATTAAAATGTAAACAAATATAATTGGCTTCTTCTAAACAAAATATACTTATTTTAGAAACTATTTATAATATTTCAATACTGAAGTTTTAACGTTGATTTTTTTATATTATTTATAGGTAACCTGCCACAGAAATGATCTCTCTACGATTAATGTGACATCGTTTTCATTCTATGATACAGCATATAATATACATAATATACAAATATAGAGAAGTTAAAAATAAAATATAATAATTAAACACCGATTTTTTTTGTATTTGGTTGTTCTAAATTTATATTTATTTAAATTTGTTTGTTTTAAATTATAATAATTATGGAGTTGTGTATTATTAAAAAGAACTATTAATACAAGAATATGTATCTTATAGAAGGAATAGTAGAAACGAATTTTTGAATATTTTACAATTTTTAATGACTATAAAGTATAACTGGGTGTTGAAATTATTGATTTTTTATCATTTCTCTATTTTTTCTTCGCACTAAAAATTTGATGTTTATAATTGGCACATGATCTATTTAAAGGGATCGAGATAATCAATATATTTTTTAATAATCAAACTCCAAAGCTTCTTAAACTCTAAAATTTACTATGATAGGTATATTTCTCTTTAATATTTACATGTCCAACAATACTATGTCTTACATTGAATTTACTTAATGGAGATTACTAAAATGAAACTTTTGACCAGAAAACAGACGTTTTTGACCAATATATCTTTATACATAACAACTTACAATTATTTTTTTTCTCTAATAATAAAAATATATTGTTTAACAATAAAAGCAGCAATATATGAAAACAGTATATTAATTTAGCCACGCTTGTAATATATGTATTATTTTTATTTATAATTTGTATTTTTTGACAAATGACATAAAAATATTTTTTTAATGGATATTATTGTTAAATCCAACAAAATAATTTAACAGTGTTATTTGCCCATATAAAACCAATTATGCCTTTCAGAACATTAAAAAAAAACTTTGGCACATAATGCGTTTTTTCAATAATAATGTTTAGTTATAATATGGTATTTGCCGTCTGTTTTATACTCTTTTAACGATATAACGATTAGTTGTTTTAATCAATTATCCATTAAAAAATAAGTTCTATTCTTCATAATGGAAGAAATTTTTTTAAAAATTAACACGAAAGTATTCTACACACACATTTTATATTTTAGTTAAATTTATTGACACAAAGCTCGTAAATATTAAGTTTTTTATAGATGTGTATTATCGGACAAAGAAAATCTTGTTGATTTTTAATTGCCAATTTTTGATATGCAATACAGCAAAGTCTCGTTATACAAGAAACGTTTATTGTAATTATACAGGGTGTCCCAGAAATAAGTGCAAGTATTTTAAGGGGTGGTAGATCTCGATAAAAGAAATATATTTTCTCTTTATCGTTTTTCAAATAAGTCCAAAATAACGGAGTTATTTTACTTTGAAAATATGTTTCTTTGCTAAAATTTTTAGAACCACTGAATCTTTTCTGGATTTTCTTTCTTGTAAATTTAATCTACTACCTATGTTGCCTTATTATTATTAAAAAAATATTTTTTTTAAATAAAAACTAAAAAAATTTCCAAATTTTTTTTAAAAAATTCCGAATTTTCCAAAAAAAATTTTCGCGAAAAAAAACCTCAATGGCGTGTTTCTGGGCTTGAACTATATTACCAGTTAAAATACTTGCACTTATTTCTGGGATACCCTGTATAGTGAATTAAATCTCAAAGGTATAGTAGGTCAGAAATCGATATGGGTTGTTCTTAGTTTCTGATGTCTAATAGGCTCATTTAACACATTTTTTCAAAGTGCCTGCGCATAGGAAAATTTGTAAACCATCATAATCCCACATTATCGAAAAAAAATCGATTAAAAAAACTATTAAATGGATTGCAATATAATTTTTTGCTTAGTAAATTTGCCTTAAAATGTTCATTCAAAAAATCCAATAATGCTCTTATTTCTATTGAATGTTTCTTGAACAGTCAACAATTCTTGAACTAAATTCTATCCGCGTTAAAGATCTTTCAAAATTACAAAATTAATATTTATTTAGTTGGAAGTATTTCGTATTTTTTTTTTGAATTAATAAACATTAAAATAGGCTAGACTGCCTGATTGAAGTATTTCATTGTTTTCGGTCACTTCCTGTTTCACCGGAACGACTACAACTTTTGAAAATGACACCCTCGGTGTTTTTTTATTTTAATTGATAGAAAATGATATTCTGAATAGGATGACGTATCATATGTCAACTTTTGACATTTTCAATTAAAAAAGAGCATTTTAAATTTCAATTTGAAGTGCCATGGCTATAAATGTGACGACAATTTGACTCGAAATACCAAGTGTGTGGTACCAAATTATTCGTAAAAAATACTTTCTCCAAATATGCTAATGAGCTACCCTAGTTCCATTTGAGTTATTTTTGAAAAAACACGACTTTTTAACGGCCAGGATATTTCCTACGATTTTTCTTTTAACCGGCCAGGATAATACACGAAAAACATTAGACTATCAAATCTATTTTTTCAAGGCTCCTTGATTAAAAATTAGTGTTTTTAACACAGCCATGGCACTCAAGATTGAAATTTAAAATACGACTTTTTTAAGCAAGAATGTCAAAAGTTGACATGATATGTCATTCTATTTAGAGTGCCATTTGCTATCAAATAAAGTCAAAAAATAGCGAGGGTGCCATTAAAAAATCAAAAGCTGTAGCCGTTCCCGGTGAAACAGGAAGTGACCGAAAATAATAATTGAATACGTCCATCAATCCTGATTTATGTCATATACTAATGTACCAAATCTCGTTTATTTATCTGAAAAAATAAAAAAACATATGGGGGTGAGCCACTTTAGAGAAACACCCGGTATTTCCACGAGAATTCTGATGATACCTAGATAAAAGCAAAAATTCATACATGAATAGATACAATTTTTATAACCCTCTAGCATAGGCTGTGTTTCTAGAAATAGAAAGGGTTACTCGAAGGGTTTTAGTAAAGTATCCCATTGAAAATACACAATACAAAATTTACTAATAGTTTGAAACTGTGAGACGCATCCGTTTTCCTATTTTGGCATTGTTTGCAATAAACATCTATACTGCTGAAATTCAAAAGCTAATGATTCTGATAATTTCCGTTTATATCCATGTTTGTATTTTATATTATTGTACACCTATACAATAATAAAAAAACGAAGAAATAACTTCAAGAAAAAATACTTCGAGGAATTTTTTTGAATCAACTAATAATTTACCATATTGCAGATAAAAATATCTCCAGGACAATAAAATCCTCATAGAAGTTTTACCCTAGGACTGGGTCCAGTGTTCATTATCATACTGTCTTATTTAATGTCATATGTTCTTGTAGGTAAGGCCCTTATACTTACAATGTAACTTACTTTTGGATTTCTTGGTGCAGAGTATGCAAAGAAGTATTCTTGTACCCATTAGAGATGAGCCAAATTGCGATTCTCCAATCGCAATTGAAACTGCGATTGCGATTTTTACATCGCTGCGGCTGTGACCTGCGATTGCGATTTTAATATTTAAATATTGTACTAGGCATTCTATTCAGAGTGTTATTTTCTATCGAATAAAGTAAAAGAATACCGAGGATTTCATTTAAAAATCAAAAGTTGTAGTCATTTCCGGTGAAACAGGAAGTGATCGAAACGATTGAATACGTCAATCAATCCTAATTTATGTCATATGCTTACGTATGAATACGTTATAGAGGCGAACCACTCTTGAGAAACACTCGGTATATTACCGATCTTGGCCCTAGAAAATATTATCTTCTCTATAAATAAATAAAATCAGAGAAAAAATTCAATTGCAGTTTACTATAAGCTTCAATGGACCACAAAATTACATTCGCAACTCCTAAAATTTAAACTCGCAGATAGAAGGTTATCACGGTCCTAGTTTACAAAGTCACCATCGCAGCAAAATCGCAAATCGCAGCAAAATCGCAAATCGCAACTATAGTAATATTGGCTGCCGAAATTGAAACTTGCAAATAGAAAAAATCGCTGTCGCAGTTTCCTATGAGAGCCAATCGTAGGTTGCGCTTGCGAATTTGAAATCGCTGCGAATGAATCGCAGTTTGCGATTTGTTGCTCATCTCTAGTACCCATCTATACTTGCTCTTATCCGAGTTGCATGGAGAAATTCACAGATTATCTTATTTACAAGCGGCTCCAGTTCATTCGGGTATTTCTAGACCAGTCATTTGTCGAACTCAAATTACATTTCAACCGACCAAATAACATCAACCGACCAAATAACATTTTACAGATAAAAGAATGAATTTATATCAAGTCTTAAAAATTGTTAATTGACTTTCGTAAAATAACTAATTGTTACAGTTTTTAACAAATCCAAGAATTAAATTTGAGACTTGGCCGTATATTCCTGTGATTCCTTTTTTAGATTCAACCACAACTTTTTTCAGATATGTATCGTCAATTGCTTGTGATGTATTTCCGTCAATTTTCGAAAATAAAGAAGTTTATTTAAATGAAATAATGAAATCAGCAAGGCCGACATCGATTTTACGATAGGTTACACACGGCAATGGTAGAAAAAACAGTTGAGGATCACAGCTGCGAACTGGGGAAACGTCCATCTGGTAATGCTGATGCATCCTGAAACAAAAACATTATTTTTACATCAGTTAGTACATTCAGCGTGCTGTGCAAAAAATTTGGCCGACCATACGATTTTCCGTAAAACGCACAAGTTTGTTATTCTTTGTATTTTCCTATTTCAACAATCGATTCTGGCCAGCATGTATCGAATTAGTAGAAATAATTCTCTTCAGTGAGAGTAATGTCAGTGTTAAAAGATCATAAAATGTAGGTATAATCTTCTACCTAATTGAAATGAGTTGTATAAATCACTAGAAAAAACTGCTGAGGGATATTAAAAATGCATAGGGCGTATGCGAACGTCTAAGCGAACCGTTTGGGGAATCCCATGACAAAAGTCCAGCGCAAAAATAATTCACGAGAACAAGAACTTGGACGAAAGGAAAATTCAAATAGGCAGTCTATATATCACAAATCAATAGGGTTTCCATTGAACCGTGTAAAATATGACGCTTCTATAAGGACAACGCCGTTTTTTTACTGCAAAACTGTATCTATTATTTACACGATGAATTATTATTATTATCATAAGAAAAAGACTTTGTAAAAGAATAAATATACCGCCAGATCGGAACACACTATGTCAAATTACCTAAGAAATGATGGTCAATGATAATGTGTATGTAAAATTAGTCGTATGTAGTAATCATCGATCGTGATTATTTATAAGTTGACTCTGGTTTTATTTTTTTTTTAAATTTTATTGTGGCGAATTAGTGTTGTTTTTATTTTATCTCAGCACTATTATTATTTTAATTCTTAATATTTCTGTAGAGAATGTAATATAAAAATTAATCCCATCAAAAACATAAAATGTAAAAACATGCCAAGTTTCGCAACACATTTCTGCAACTGTAAAAAGTTATCATGTAAAACAAAGTCAGTTTATTTTATTTATTTTCTATTTAAGCACCTATTAAACCATTTTGTTATAAATTGTTAGTATCAATATTAGACATCTTTATTTTTGTAATTTTAATTTGTAATTTAATTATGACTAGGTATTGCGCACGGCACCATAATTATAAAAAAACACTTCGATTACTAAGTAAATTTAAATAGTGAAAACGTAAATCTAACAGTAGAATATCATATCGTGCAATTTCATAAACTTTGTATGTAAATAAGAAGACAATATAACATCGAATAATTCTGGTGTTTAACTTTTTGTCGACTGGAAAGTCGTTAGTAGTTTTTTTAGTTACCGGTAGCGGCTATAAACATAATTTTCAATCCTTAAGGATATTTCAAGATTTTTTCATTTTTTCCTTTCGTTATAAGCATAAAGCTGGAGCAAGGAATAACACAGCGCAAGCTGCGCTTGAAGCAATTCTGGACTTGCAATCAATCGACTGGCTCGTGAAGGATCTGGCCGCTAAGGGTGCCCTAAGATTAAGGAAATCCAATCTGTGGAACCAGACCAACTACGGTCACTCGAGGATATTGCCAGTGATAGGGAAAATCATGGTGAACACGAGTCCACATCTGCTAGACCAGAAAACGGCCTATATGCTCACCAAACATAATTTTGGAGAAAAGATAAGGATTCGCATCCCGACAAGAGAAGAATGGGAAAGCAACCGAGCAATGAACCCTCAAGAGATAGCAGTCTACACAGATGCTTCCGCAAATTCAGGGGGCACAGGTATAGGCATCTTCTCAGAGGAACTAGACATCCGACGATCTTTAAGGCTGGATGTAATGTTCTACAAGCAGAGGTTTACGCCATAAAGGAAGCGGCTAGTTGTATACGAGAGAAAATTGCTGATAGACCAATAGGGATATAGTGATATACTCTGACAGCTTGGCCGCTTTAAGAAGCATCACCATGCAATCAGTGAGATTGAAAACTGTGATGGAATGCCGAGAAATACTGTCCTGGCTGCTTCAGGGCGGGGCTACTCTGTGCTGGGTGCCAGGCCACAGCAATGTGGTGGGCAATCAGGAAGCAGACAGACTCGCCAAAGACGGGGCCAGGGGAGAGGCCGTGGCAGATGACCCACCACTTGTGACGATCAACACACCGAAGGAGGCTATAGGAACTGCCATAAGCCAAGCAGCAAGAGACGTGGCAACACCGTGAGGACTGCGCTACAGCTCGAAGACTATGGCCAGTGGTAGATAGCAAAATGACAAAACAACTACTAGAGCACAAAAAGGACCTAGTACGCATAATTGTAGGTGTCGTCACTGGAAACTGTCCCACGGGGGTAAACCTCGTGAGATGGAAAGGTTCTGACAACTACTGCAGAGAATGCGGAGAGGAAGAAGAAACCATAGAGCACCTGCTGTGCCACTGTCCGGCACTGGAATACCGACGCTTTAAAACTTTAGGGCAAGGTTTTCTGGAGGGACTAGAGGAAGCAGCAGAAACCAACATCAGCGACATCGGGAATTTGGAAGTGCTTTAACGCAAAGAAAGAACGAGGAAGGTTTGGTACAACAATAAACAGGGGTATCGCAATGGGCCCAAGGCCTCCGAGTAAGGAATCAAATATGATCCCAAACCCCAGCAACCTAACCTAACCAAACCTATAAGCATAAAGCTACCTAAAATTCAAAATTTGATGTTTGTAGAACTTCTAGAAGTATTTTAGAATTTTGATGACGGTGAGCAAGTCACTGTCGAAATTAATGAAGTTTGACTAGCAATAATTCAGAAACTCTGTATTTATTGTTGTTACATTTATATATACAGGGTGAGTCTTAAATAAGTCCAAATATTTTAGGTGTAGTATATTTCGACCCCAGAAACACGATGATGAGGTTTTTTTCGCGAAAGAAAGTTTTGAAAATTTGGAAATTTTTTTAGTTTTTAGTTAAAAAATATAATTTGTTGATAATATGGCAACATAGGTAGCAGATTAAATTTACAAGAAAGAACATCCAGAAAAGATCCAGTGGTTCTCAAAATTTTAGCAAAAAGTAGTTTTTTTTGGAAACTTTCACAGTAAAATATCTCCGTTATTTTAGATTTATTTCAAAAACTGTAAAGAGAAATCATGTTCCTTTTATCGAGATCTACCAGCCCTGAAAATATTTGCACTTATTTAAGACTCACCTTGTATATATAAAATGAGGAAAGTCAAGTACCGGTAGCGGCTAGACAAGTAAGTTTTAATCCATAAGGATATTTCGAGACTTTTCATTTTTTCCATTCGTTATAAGCTTAAAGCTACCTAAAAACTACCTAAAGTTAAACATTTGAAGTTCGTGAAACATCGAGAAGTACCTTAGAATGTTGATGACGGTGAGTGAATTACTATCCAAAATAAAGAAGTTTGACTAGCAATAATTCACAAAATTTGAATTATTGTATAAAATCAGCTAATATCTAATCGATTAATTCTAGTTTTCTAACCACTTCACACCGTGCTGGCAACTGTTACTTTTTGGTCGGTAATTACATGTGTGGAAGTAATTCGCATAACGATCTTATTAAGTCGGAGTGAGAGAAATGCTGCGGTGTGCTGTTGCGTTGTTGCCCGTATGCCTTTCCCTATCAAGTAAAGTAAAACCACGATCGCAAACCGCTTATTTTTAAGACTTTTTTTCGAAAAGGTAACTAGATAAAATCAATAGATATGTTTCTGAGCATCTGAAATGGAATTATAGGATATCTTTAGGGTGTCCATTTTTTTTATAACGAGAAAACGTCAGTAATCGGGATAATTTTAAAAACTCAACTTTTTTACACATAACACGCCATAACTTAAGAACCACTTGAGAACCAGATATTGAAGCTTTTTTTATTTTGAAGATCGGATCATACATAAGAAAAATTGAATAAGGTTGTTTTTTTCCATTCTAAAATTTAAACACCCCATCCATTTACATTTAGTGCATAGCAGTTTTCAACAATCGTGTAACTTTTTTATTTATAAAGATTTTTGCATACTGTCTGCGAAGAAAGTTTTTGAAAAACTACAATCAATTCATTCTAATACATTTCGAGATATCGATTTTTTAATTCAGAGTTCTAATAGCGCGACCACTGTCGAACACCAACAAAATTCCACTCATTTTTACCAAACATGCAAGTGTTTAACTTGCACTTAAAAATTTTCGAGCTATAGGGAAAATTACAATGACTCGTTAATAAATAAACAAAAAATGAAGTATCACGAGATTAAACCGTGAAGCTGAACGCATGATGTACACCTTTCCCTAGAACTTTAAGTACTGACAGAGGTACTAATCTACTAATTGGGTCAACCGGTCGACTGCGACAAATCTGTTATTTCCCCTTTCACGTTTCTTAGCAATGTGCACAGTTTCTTGGTTTATTTCATACGTTTGGCAACGTGTTCACTGTTCCCTCTTTGTTATATTAAGGTTATATTATAATATTGATACTCACGATTTATAACAGAATTGTTGAATAGATGCTTAGGCAGAAACTAAATAATGGTTTGACATGAGATCTCACAACTTTTTATAGTGGAAGAATTGTGTTGCGAGACTTGGCATCTTTTATATTCTATGTTTTTGATAGGATCTATGTTTTACTATATGTACTCTGGAACTGAAAAATTTAATATTAATATGTTCGAGATGGACGTAATACTCGATTGAATAAAATATAAAAGTAGTGTCGATCTTAAAGTTTGAACAAATTTATTACTAAATTATTTGGAACGACCTAATAAAAATCCAGAAAGAGAAAAACTATAAAAGCATTTCTCTGCACCGTCCCAAAGAAATCGATTGAAACCGTGATATTTGCACGATCTGACATTTTATCTTTGATCCTTTAAATATGCATGCTTTTGTTTCAGTTCTCCACTCTTGAGGATATTTTATTCGGGAGCAACTGGATCAACTAGGTTTTTATTGGAAGTTACAGTGTTGTTGGGTCGAGAGACCCGCTATTTATATTTTATTTATGTAACAATCACCGTCAGAAAGACAAAAAACAAGTTTGTAAAACGCTTTTACAATTTCAACGCGCTTCTCATCTAAATAGCTTTGTTTAGCAAACTGAATTTGCACTTTAT